TGCTTATAAAACAACTGAGGAGTTGTGTCTCCGAAAATACACAAGATTGAATATCTTAGACGAAGGTCCTTCCAAAAGACATCTCACGTTTCTCCGAGCCAGCGAAACGAATCGTGTCTTTCTACTCAAACTACAGTTTTCACAGATCACGACACAATACAGGTTGTCTCAAACTAGACGTCTTGCTCCAAAACCTTTTCCCAACATCAGCTGAGCATTTCAGAAAATTATTCGGTAGCAGCTCTCAACTAGCACCTTTTAACTACAACTTGGTTAGAGAGTGCCAGCATTCTCAATCTTGCAGCAGAGACATCCCAAGTCTTTATATTTCGACATTTCTGCAAAACTCAACCCCCTAGAACAAATGGTATTGTCGATCATCAAACTTGAAGACTTCCCTTGCTATGAAAATTGCACTAACATTAGACCCGAATATATAGATGCTTAATGTTAAAACTTTATAATTATTTTGTAACAAAGCGACAGGTATACGAATCTGATTCAAAATGTAATAACTAAAGAGAACTTTCGTTCACATTACTTCGAAATCGAATTCCTCACAACATCGCAGTCGAATATTATTAAATAATTGCATGCGAGGGACGTAATTGGTGAAAATGGCGTGAAAACGCAGTCATTCCACGGTTGTCATTCCACTACTATTATGGATTGTCTCAATATCTTCCTTTATAACAGCTCATTTAAAAGGTCGTGTCAAAGTACTTAGCAAACGCGTACATTAAAATTACTCGAATAAAATGCATTTATAATTAACAGGGCACCTGTGTTTTGAAACGAGACAAAATTTCTGTTCGTATCACCACATGATAAAGTGTCTTAGAGAAACATTTGTTAATAGAAGTCGGTTATTATTAACCTATTATTAACACATTTTGAAAATAAAATTTGTATATTTATAACAATGATCAACATTAAATCATACCACCTAGTTTAACGAAACAAATTTCTTATATTTCTTTTTGCACCCTTCTTTCAGCAGCACAGTATTCAGCCTTGGCATACCTTCAAGTGTGAAAAAATTGTTGGATTTATTAAACACGTCACACGATCTCATATTCTGGATACGAGCAGCACATTTGCACTAATGCGGTCAGATATCAAATGGACACAAAAACAAACTTGAAACAGACATGACTTCTCACTTCTCCGAGTTTGGTTCTCAACAATATTTATAAGAACATGTCAGTTTATTTTCCCTTCAACACAAAAACGCTCAGTGCAAAGTAATTAAGTGATTGACGCAGCGACACCGTGCTTGAATTCCTGGAGAAGGAAATAGAACAACGTGCCGTGCTGATATTAAAAGAATGAACAGCAAAGGAAGTAACATTCACGCGTCCACCGCTTTCTACATGCCCTAGATTTACAGGTGGAGATTGCAATTCCGTATGCGATGCTGTAGGAAATGCCAGAGAGCTTGCAATATATCACATTACCGCACAGTAAAACTATCCTTTCAGAATAATGTACGATTAACTGGAACCGTGCGAATATTCCGCACTTTGTATTTCATTGTGTTAAAAGTGAAAACAGCGTGGTTCTTCCGGGAACTTGACCCCCGCAGTGAACATCAAAGACCCGGTCTTGTATTATTATTCCTACCGTTTATTTATGAACTGAAAGCCTTGGATACCTGCAATTAAATTGCAAAAAGACACCAAATAGTCCTCTTAGACTTCGTGATTGCGCATGTGCTACGGAGCTGAATGTTTAAAAATGTAATTAAGTGCCCTTTAGAAACCCCGGGAGCCTAGGTTTTCGATCACTCACCGCTGGATGCACCGGGAACAACGTCACGTGGGTTGCGAATTCGTATTCCCATCACAATCGTCGGTAGCTACTCGGCGCAACCATTACATTTTTAGCATTTACATTTTCTCCCTCTATATCTTCGCTTCAAGAAACATTTATTCACAGCTGCGAGACTGAAAGCAAACTACTTTTACGGTTTTCGGTCTTCTGTAGAAACATTAAATTTTTTGGGGGACTACATTAAAAGCCTCTGAGGGCACATTCATGAGATTGCATTTTCAAGTCATATTTTAAAATTCTAATTCATATGCATTTCAAATGACTGTATGCAACTTCTTTCACTTTCGCAATAGCCTTTCCGATAATTTACATTTATCTTAAAGAATTATAGTTTGTTGAATTAATCCGAAGGCAGACATCCTGAGTGACATACTTATATTATTAGGTCAGAATAGCTTTCACTGTACAAATTTTATTTCTGATGCGTGCATCTCTAAACAATACAATAAAATTGTAAATCATTTTGTTTAATTGTTGCCTTCCATGCAACTTATTAATGGAATAAACTGCGCACAATGTGCCTCCTACACCGAATATGTGAGTAATGCTGGCACTGTTGCGACATAAAATCACAATTATAATGATGATACTGAAATAATAATAATAATAATAATAATAATAATACCGATCGAAATGGCTCAGTGTGGTCCCCCCCCCCCCGCCAATAGAAAAGTAGCGTGCACAGCTGATCCCCCAATAGGAAAGTAACTTGCACCTGTCTCGATAATCAAGACAGCCCCGGTGGGATGCACGTATCGCGTGGTCCCATGCTGATCGATTCGCGAAAAAAACAATAATAATAATAATAATAATAATAATAATAATAATAATAATAAAATTAGAAACCACTGATCATTCCATCTCAACCTTTTCAATTAAAGCAAAATTCTAATTCATGACAACGCGAGATAGAGCAATGTATGTGTGTATGAAATTACCTCCGCCAATATATATGTAATGTCATCAAAGTCCCAAACTCGTGCTCCTGTGATGCCTGTTGGACAACGTACAAAACTGCATACAACAAACCCATACTGATTGTACAATAACGGCAAACAAACCGAATGTTGTTATACGGGATATAGATAGAAATATCGTCTACAGGTTCTTGAACGTTCTGATCGCGAGTTTTGCCATACGGTCAGATTGTCGTAACAAATGAGGATGAGGAACGTCTTAAATATAAGAATTCGGAAACCGAGATCAGAGGGTACAGGACGATAAAACTAGTCATGACGATAGCCATTGAAGTTGTGGTATTTGTTAGGCAATGTGTAGGCAACTACTGAAGCGGCCGCAGCCCCAAGATCTGCTCCTTAGGAAGCTGGTTGGGATCTGGAGCAGCGTGAGTTCGGGGGACACATGACATGTAAAAGCATAATTCTCTTCCTTCGGAGAGATCACAGTTCACGTTCGTTCCTGCATAAAGATGACCAGGAAGTTCTCCTCTAAAAGGTGATCCTGTATTGCTAATATAGCTTTAGGGTAAAAATCCAGCGCTAATTAATATTTCATAAATTATCAAAATTACGGGTCCTATATATTATAATCAAAATCCTGTTCTAATTACTTTCACATCAATGATAATCATAAACTATGTTTATTACAATGTGGTCATTACTCCAAAAATACCCAATGAATTTCATATCTCAAGGACGTTTTAGAATCCTTTCGAACAAACTTCCTAGGATGTTTGCGACTTGCGACTCCCCCTCCCCCCCCACACACACACAAAATCTGCTTGGAAGTAATTTGTGCGACCTCACAAATCATCCTGGATTGTTTTGTAACTTTACACCGAGTATAAAATAATGTATTTCATGAACACTATCTTGCCCTCCTAAGATTTAAATCTAACTACGGTAACCGAGGTGGCACGATAGTCCTCGATATTGCAGATCGTCAGCGCCTCGGTGAGAAGTGTCGTGGTTTCGAGAACAGTCCAGGCCTTGGACGTTTACTACACGAAAAAAAATGTTAAAACTGCTAATCTTGAGTATAGAAATACCATCCGGAAATAAATACAATTTGCCTCGGTTGTCTACGAATCCGAAGTGGTGCATCTCGCTCTTATACAATATTAGCTGAATTTGGACGAATAAAGGTAGGGTCAAGTGTTTTCGGCAAAATTTTATGAAGAGAAATATTATCTCCGGGAAATAAACACTATTCCTAACAGCCTCTAGCAAGGCCATCCATTTGTGGCATGGGGACCTCGTGCATTGCATGTACGGCTCGAGAACCACCCCTTAGAACTACGCCTAGAAAAGACCTCAACAATAATATTCCATTGAATGTTTCGCGTAAATTCTAAATATCGGTAGCGTACCCGCGAGGGGCTATGTTCACCCTTACAATTGTAGTCCAGCAATAGTCAAGAAGTGCGCGAAACTATATACAATGCACTACCCTCTACTACTATTCGGAACTATTTCTATGAGTTTTACTGTGGTAGCTGCAGAAAAAACTGAAGGAACAAAAAAGTGACACTCCAAAAATTTTGGAGCACTTGCCACTATTTCATAATGTATGTTCTGTATAACAACACAAGAATAACTTCATTATCTTAAACTAGAAACTCTGCTTAGTTACTTAAACTCAATAAAAAAAGACAACACAATTACTCGCAAATTAATTCCATTGGTAGTAAACTCAATTCACACAGCATACACGTCAGACAAAAACCATTAATAGCATTAAACCATAAAACAACCATTAATAGCAATTGTTAGGATCCATGTTTTACCAGATAAGCTCTTTCAGGATATTGACTACGCAAAGGAATGGGGAAGTAAATTTTCAAGTAATAGAAATGATTATGTTAAAACCATTTTAATTATAGGGTGAAAAGCAAAACAGAAAAGGGCAGGAAATGGGTAAGTCCAAAAGTTTGCCAACATGCTTAAAAAATATTTTACACAAAAGAAATGACAAATAAAAATTTTTATTTTTATTTTGTTTACAATGACAACCACACCAGGCACATTAATTCCGGATCCGTTCATGTTCATTCAGGGAGAAGCAGTTGTAGAAAACATGCCACACCATAGCCTCCTCCAAATAAACATGCAGAAAACACATATCCATCAGTTAATGACATTCATATCATTCACTTTTTCAGTCCAAAATAACAAATAAATGCCTAGCAAAGCAAACATATTATTTACCTTTCGAGATGATGAAGAATAGTCTGTTGTCCTTCCATCTGCACCACACATTGTGTTCCCAATTCCAATTCTGAAATGAAAAATCCCAATTATAAACAAACCTAAACCTCAAATCAACCAATAAAATTGGTTGTCCTAGTGCTTTCTTCCATTATATTCAATTTGTCAGAATTGTCAGGAAAACATGAAATGAACATTCACAAAAAACATGTTTTAGACTACTTATGAAGAAACTACATTCAAAATCACCACTACTCTCGAAAATAAGAATATTTCTTCCTTCTACATTGTCAGTAATAGCAGAATATCACGTGTTGCCGATTTTGCATTATTCACATTAGGAACACTGCCAATTTGTCTTACCTCTTCTATTGAAGGGTCGCACCCGAACAGCCACTTTAATTTTATCAGTCGCCATTGTGATAAAAACAAATAGTTCAATAAATATATTAAAACATGTATATACAAGGATACGTAGACACTTCGCACGTTTTCACGTATTCACCCCATGTCAGATTCAATCGAGAACGGATTTATCACGCGCGCACATCCATCACATCGTAAAGTTACTCCCCGCCATCTTAGACTACCGAGGAGGTGTTCAGCAGTTACGTCATGCTCAGTGTATAGTAGATGGCACTAGTAGTCAGAGAGGTGGAATCAGAAGAGAAAATACATTCATTAGTATACACATTTTTTTAAAATCGAAGTTGTATATTCGATTTGAGATTTTGTATCAATAAATACAATTTTAACTTTTTGTAAATATCCTCAGTGCTTCCTGAACATCATATAGAATTAACACACTACATTAAACAGTGAGTGTACTTGAGTATTGTGCATTGAAAATGGCGTCGTGCATGTTTGGTTGGGATCTGATATACAAACTTGCCGAAAAAGATATAAACAAAAAGGAAGACGTTTTACTACTTCTCGTACATTGGTATTTAGTGAAAAGTGGTCTCAAGTGTGTTGGATTGGGAGATGATGTAAGTCAAGTCGTATTTATTGGTATCCAATTCAAGTGTCAAAACTGCAATGTAACCTTTACATGTTGTCAATTTATTAAGTTCCTTCACACGTTTGAACACTTTTATTACTTGCTCATTGCCATTATGCCGTCATAGTTTAGAATGGCAACTGTTACAATTATCATTGATTTTTCAAATGTCACTTCTCTATTTTCTACTTTACTTGGCTTGTTAGATCTGTAATAGTTTGTTGGAGGTTAAAAAAAAGTAAGGAAAAATAATTTCTCAGCGAAGTACTTATTGTACAAGGAAAATATTTTAAAATTTTCCCCTTCTTGAAATTAAGATCGTATATGTGAGCAACCTTGAATAATGTAATTTGCTCCATCACAAGATACTGTAATTGAAACTTAATAGTTATTGTATTGGGTTTAGAATTTTTTGGAATTTTCAAGTTGAAAATTGTGTAACTGTCATTACTTTGATCTCAATTCTCTGATATAATATGGCTCAACAGATGAGGAACATGATATAACAGTTTCTGAAACATTCATTAATGAATCAAATTGAAGTAGAAAATGTGCTGTAGGATAAGCGTATATTTGATAATATTAATTTTATTAGTATTATAATTTTTTTTTAATAATTGAGTTTGTTATGATTGCAGAAGACTGTCCCAGAGAGTGATGAAGGTAGTGAAACTCTCCCGGAAGGATGGAGTGACAATGCAGTTTATGCATTGCGTTATGTTCATAATTCAAGTTTGTTTATTTTACATGGCACCACTTCAGAAGATGATATTATTTTCAACTTAATGGTAAAATAATCAAGAAATAAATTTTTGTGAAAAATGTTTTGTTGCATATCATTGTTGTATCTTTATTTACTTTCTTTTTTATAGCGAGCTTCTGATATGGTAGTATCAAATGTGACCTTCAACGTAGAAGAGACAGTAAAAGCACTCACTGGGCCAATTGAAACAATTATTCCGACCCATTGTGCCGCTCTTGATAGTATCAAGAAAGACCTCATTGATCCAGTCTTTCATGGCAAACAGAGAGCTGCTTCTACTCAGACTGCTGAAGATCCTCTCGCCGGACCTGATGTCCTTCCAAGAAGCTTTCCTGATGATCCCGATCCTTTACGCATTGGTGCACCAAGACGAGCTGAGCCATCAGGGTCTCGATGGTAAAGTTTCTTATAAATATAGATAAATTGTTGAGTATATTAATCTATTTGAATTTTTATTTCCTTTAAAGAAGAAGGGGAAGAAATTTAACCTCTCCATCAATACGACGTTTTGGTAATTGCACTCTTATAATAAATGACTAAACATCTTATTAAGTAAACTTTGTGCAATAACTAGTTACTTACTATTATGTAAGTACTGTGTCTGGTGAAAGTAATGCATTAAAAGGAATAAGTGATGGAAAATTCTTTTCTTTTTTTTTTTTCTTTTTCTTTTTTCTTCTTTATTCTTTGATTTTCCACTCAGCTGTATAAATAATATATTCAGATATTTACTACATATTATTGTTTTTCATCCTAGGAATGTTGTAAAGTTATATGCTTACTTTTTTTTCCAGGGATCCACTGCGTGATCCACTTTCTGTGGGTCGCTCTGACCTAAATCCATTCGCTCCAGGAGGTGGAATGATCTTTGATCCTTTCAGCGGTAGAGGAAATTTAAGAGATCCTGATGTTAGTGGAATTCCTGGGGGACTGCCAAGGTATGAATATTGGAGTGTAAAGATTGAAAATGAATAGTGACATATACTCAGGTGAAAATTATATTAACATTATGCTTTACACTTCTGCAGAGTCAACAATTTTGGATTTAACAATTTGGTGGATTTGGTGAAATGTTTGGTGTAGTTAACATTTTTTTGAACTTAGTGGTTCAGATAAAATGTCATACTTTTTAGAACTGTCAATTCCAGATGTATGATGGTCGCTCTAAAAGTTTCTGGAGAATGTAAATTGAAAAGAAAGGATATTTATTCTCACCTTAGTATTTTTTCAAATTACTCTCCCTGTGTCAAAGTACCATGGCATCCTTGGAAACTGTTTCTGGAAGGCCATTGCCTAGGAAGGAGTTATTGTGAAGGATACCACTAGTCTTCTCTTTTTCCTTCTCTTCTGAATACTCTAAGATTTTAGAGCTGAACTGTTGGTACTTACATGCTTTTACCATCATTTGGTTCTTCAAATGTTGTCAGAGAACCTTTTAAGAAAAAATTGAATAAATTATTTTAATTCGAATGCTTCCAGGTCTCTTGATCTTCTTTGGTGAAGTTGCCTCAGGGAAAATTTGTTTTGGGGTCATATTCATAGTATATTCATGACTCATTTTCAGTTGTAGTTTCTAACAATTTGCAAACAATATATTCAATGAACTTTTATTTTAAATTTTTAACTCATAACAAGAAATAGTAAACATTTAACTTGTAATTATAGCGCATAATAAGGTATTTTGATTGTTGGCAAACATTTTGTTACATGAAGTCTGTGATTTGTCTTTCGTCATTTTTGCAGAGACATAAATAGCATGTAGAAAGAAAGTAACTATGTTGTTGAAAATAATTTATAATAATTTTACCATGGTATTGACCTTTGTTAATGTTTGTCTTAGCTCTTCCTTTTTTTGGAGATGATCTCTAGAATTTCCAACTGTGTTCTTGTGTATCTCAAAGGCTTGAAGAGCATTTAGAATTCTTTTGTAGATATTAGAATTTCTCACTCTTCATTTTAGCATGACATAATTGTTTTGTCAGTTGCTTAAAAAAGAGTCCTTTCCTAGTTTTGAAGCATTATTGAGAAAATTATGGATGCATTCAAAGCAGCAATGTCAATAATGTTATGAAATAACCTCTCTGACATGTTTGCCTTTGCAATATGTAGTCATCACATGGGCCATTTGATCCATGAGGTCATATTCAATCTCTGTTTTGCTTATGGAAAAATTACTGAAGATTTCTTTTTTCCATGTGGCCTTTTTGGGAGGTTCAGATGCATTGTGCCAGGAAGATAAATAAGTTTATTTCTTGGCAATTTTAAGATACACATGGTGGTAAAAAATAATAGAATTTGATTCTCTACCATTATAATCTAGCAATTTAAATTGTATTCACTGCTTGTTAGCTCGCAATATTCCAAGGTTTGGTTTCTTCTGTCATAGATATTCAACCAGGTCTGCAGATGTAAAAATGTTATGCTGTTGTGTGATAACTTCTTCTGAATAATAGCTGTACCAATATCTTCATTGTTTTTTACTAAATCTTTTGCAACAGGTTCATCTTTCATTTTTATACAGTATATTTTTTTATGTAGTGCAAATTTATCCCCTGAATCATAGCAGCAAAAAATCTATATTGCTTATTTATGTGGTCGACATTTGTGTTACTTATGCAAAAGAAGTAAGTCAACAATGAAGTCGAGAATTATTGGGTATAAATTCCAACAGCTCAAATGTGTTTTTATACTTTGAAAGAGCTGTTAACGGGAAACAGACTACGAGTGCTTGTAGGTACATTGAATGGAAAGCACAACGAGTACGCTGTGCTGAGAAAGTTTCCACCTGCTGTACCTTCCCACTAGTTTGATTGTGCTACATTACTCCACCTCAGCCATTATACAGCTCAACTGTAGTAATTTTCAACCATAACAAGCCCTTCTGGAAAATACAGGAATATCTTTTATTGTTCAGTATTAATTGTTCATCCTGAGGCACCGAAGTACTTCATCAACAGGTTTGTGTTCAGACAATACCAAGAAAATTGGATGATATCAGCTTCTTTTTGTTGATGATGTTTCTAAATTGATTTGTCATGAACACTGGTAGCATAGTTGATTACTTTGCTTCTTCAGAACATTCTATCTTGTCAATTTTAAAGAAATTGTTATTTGTTTATTACTGTGATTTTTTTTAAATTTTATACTGAAGGCATTCTTTTCATTAACCATCATTAACAAACAAACATTACATATGTTAAAATATTGTTTACCTTAACTCATAACAACACTCTAGTTAATTTAATGGTTTGCAATGTATTTGCTTTTTTAAATGGGCAGGTGTAATATTGAGGTTTAACCACCAATGTGAAGATGATTTATTTTGTTCTCTAAAATATTTCTTGCTCTCTTAATTTCTTTTGTGTTTGTTGCAGAGGCAGTGTTCCACCAGGTGCACGCTTTGACCCAGTGGGTCCTCCAATAGGCCGTGGTCGAGCTTTTCCTCCTGATCACGACCATCTTCCTCCTCCAGGATATGATGATATGTTTATGTAAACCTCATTTTTTTTCTGATTACAAAATATTGTATTGATATTTCTCTCATTTTGTGTTCTGTGTTGTATGAGCACAATGTAATTTGATATTTGAAGTGGTATATCTTAACTTGTGCCTTTTTGTACATACATTACTTATGAAATGCAAGTGTATTAAAATGTTATTCATGCTGTTTTATTTTTTTGATGTTTAAAATATTAATACACCATAGGCATAAAGTTAATGGAAAAGTTTCTTTGCAATTTAACATTCCTCATCAGATTCCCAGTTTGAGGTTAGGTATTTGCCTATTATCTTAATGTTTTGAAGATGAGAATAAATGATGTCGAAACACCAGGACCACAAAGAGGCAAGAGTCTGGCTGTTTAAAAACACATTTTTACTTGAATTTGTATCAAATTTAAAGTACATTTTTATGGAGACTTTTCAAATATGAGTGCAATCAATTAAATGAATTTTGGCATGGGCATTCTCCAAGCATATCTTTAAATTTTCCTATGAATCATGAGTTCAAGGAGGAGTAATGAGTAACTGGTTTGCGTAATATGGGATACATAATATTTTGTAGTTGCTGATATTGCACACTTGAAATTTGAGTAAAATTTAGAAGCGAGTCACATCAAGAATAAAAATACAGTATTTCTATGGAGGCTTTGCAATAACTCTTCACCACTATTTAAATATTTGTGATTCAAAAATATCAGTACCAATTCACTTATTCCATTCATGTGAACAGTCTCATTAGCTTATGATTGAGATGCACTATAACATTCTGAAAAGATAAAAACTCCAGACTTGGGAAAAAATTGAAGCTACTTTCAAGTGTACTTTATTTATTGAATGAGTGGTCCTCTCAATAGAAAAATTTTTCTTTATAATGATTGATTAATATTGTAGGATATTGTATAGAAAAGAAAACAGCAAATAAATTTTAAATCGATTTTCAGTCATTGTGACATCTCAGGAAATGGAGGCAAGTGTTGCTGCAACAACATCAAAATAGTGTGTCCGTGCCAAAGGTTCTTCCAAATTCTCGTTCTTAAAGGTGTTCAGAGAGATATAATAACAATAAAAATGTATTTTTTTATGGTGTGGCTCAGGCCGTAAGCCTGCAAGTTTTGCAAAATTGAGCCATGATGCAAAACTGATAATCCAAAATGTCACTTGTCATCATTTATACCCGAAGTGAATAGTGAACAAAAGAAGGGTATGTTTTACATTTACAGCTGAGATTCACTTCTAGGGACGATCCCAGCATACACCTGAAGCTATTGAGTAGCCCAGAAAAAACCTCAGTCTGGATGGTGGCTTAAGCTCGAACATATAAAACTAGATATGAGAGTTAAAAGTGAAAATAGAAGAAAAGGGGGAAAAAAACAATGGAAGTTGACAAGAGGAGAAAGTAAAATATTATAATAAAAAGCATATGAAGAAGTAAGATGGGAAAACATAATACATATTATAATCTTGCAGAGAATTGTATAACTGACTACAATTGAGGACATATGCAATATATAATTATAAATAAATAGAAGCCTGGGTCATCCTGAAAGCCATTGAATTAGTCTCCCAAAATGGAGGAAAGCGCAAAATAGTAATTCACTCAGACTCAATGGCTACCTTACATGCAATAGTCAACAGGTTTTCTAAAAATCCGATAATTCAAAGAATCCAAGAACAGTTATTTACACAAGAAAACAACGGAACCATCTCTATTGTTTGGGTTCCAGCACATAAAGGTATAGAAGGGAACGAAAAGGCAGATAAAGCGGCTAAAGAAGCAACTTCATTACCAACAATGGACAAGAGTGTGAAGGGAGTTCTCTCTGATATTAAACTATATATTAAAAATATGGTTAAAAAACAGTGGAATGAAAAATGGCAGACTACCTTCTCCAAACATCACCTCGAAAGGAAATCCATTATTGAACCCGCCATCCTAAACTCCAACTCACTAGATTCCAACAAGTCCAAATTACCAGACTACATATTGGCCACTATATAATTCCTTCTCCTCTCCAGAAGAATGTATAAAAGTCTTACAACTTTTAAAAACATCATAAATTGATACCTTAATATAAAGACCCTCCTTTACCTATATCTCATATACAATAATCCTTCAAACATGTAGTTAATATCAAAACTTGTGAAATGTAAATAAATAAATATGTGTACCCATCCCAATTATGTAAGTACCTACATTATTAACACATTTTGACCATTTATATGAATTGTATGTAATTGTATAATGGCATAACTCTAAAAAATGTGTATTCTTGTGCAAATTATAAATCGATTCTCGTGGTCGCTTATTACCCAGTTGTTGAAAAGCGACCTTAAATAAATAAATTTAAAAAAAATTATAAACAAAAACATGGGGAAACATTAACCCATTATCATTTGGTAAGTGCAGTAATAAGAAAAACCTGATGGTATAATACAGAAAGTGCCAGTAAAATGAAAGGTGATGTCTCTACTGATTTTCTTCGTAACAATAATGGCAGGAAAGAATAATTAAAGTGTCACACATCATGATTTGAGAAAGCTCTTTACACAACTGTATCACTTTTTTTTTTTTATTTATTTATATGAATCTATTATATATAGTCCAAAATTATATTTTAAATATTGCAATGTAATATTTCTAATCGTAAATCTTGTATCAACAGATTAGATTAGCTTTTACTGTATCCCAATGCCATGGGAGAGATGAGAAATATTTTTGGAAAGATGACTTGCAAAAAGGTCCAACACAGAATGATAGGCAATAAAGGAAACATTATTGTTTTTGAAAATTGAGTGTGAATGGAAAAAAGGGTGTATGTAAACTACCTTTCATTGTTTTTGTATCCAGAGATGAAATTGAGTTTTGAATTTTCTAATGTTGCCAATTTGCTTAAGATGTTCAGGTAGTGAATTCCATTTTCTAAGGTAACAGTACGAGTATAAGATTAACTGTAAGACAGCAACAATGAAGACTGTAATCACTTTAGCATAAGCATTTTGAAGTTTTTAGAAGTGTTTGAAGGCAATTTTACAAATTTTATGGAGAAGCAAGAGGCTATGCAATATTCTTCTGTTTTTGATAGAATTTTTGTCTATTTGTAGTACACAAACACTTGATCGCACTTATGAAGATAGAACATGAAATGCAAGCATGCACTTTGTGCGGTTTGCATCTTCCATCCCTGCTTAGCTTTAAAGTTAGTGTGTAAGTAATCTCACTAATCAAAACGAATCATTTTCAGTGAATTGATTAGATTCAGGCGTGTATTTATAGGTTGTAGTTCTCATATGCATTTTAGAGAATGGATGCCTTTGAGGACATTTTGAAAAAACATACCGACCTGTGGAGTCCAGCCAAAAATTTTGTCAGTGAATTCCTAGATTCTTTACATCATAACATCACGGAAAAAGGGAAGCCATTTATACTGATTGCCAGATTGATTGATTAGAGTTTCCGGAATCGTCCACGGCTAAGGGCATGGTTTAATCCCATAAGTGTAGTGCGCGTTTTAATCACAGGTGGCGGTGATCTTTTTCCGCTGGATGGCGAGGCCCGGTGCCGACCTACACGCCACCTTGCGGGGGTTCTCCCCGCCAGGTATCTCCAGTGGGTAAACCGCCCTGCCAGGACACGCTCTACGCTCCAAACTGGTCTCTGAGCTTGTGCGGTAGAGTAGGACAAGGAAGGGGAAGAAACTATCCTGCGCCCGATTGACTGGGCACAGCTCCAGCATTCGCCTGGGGTTGTTCGGAGGACAACGGAAAACTACGGATCAGAGCTAGAAGTCTCCTCCTGATGGCGGCTGAATTTGGCCTGGCTATGGAGTTAGTGTTGAAAATTCTACCACCGTCAACCCTAGGACCGCTCGGTCATAGTCACTAGTGACATCAGTTGATGCTCAGAGTCACGTTTGTCGGTCGGAAGGCTTGATTTATCTAACTTGTGGGCATTGTGAGAGCCTGTCAGTTACTTTTAGGATTTTATTGGGTTTAATAAAAGTTCTAGTGCTACGGTCCATTTATTTTTGTTACATACATTTAGGTTTTCGTTTATTTTCTGAACTAAAGAGTTTACTTCCGATCGGTTTCCATTGACAAAGAATTGAAGGGCAAACATTTTATGGTGACAGTATTTAAGACATTGCCCTACGTCATTTACGTAAGTTAAGAATGCTGAGGATCCGAGAACGGCTTCCTGTGCAATGCCCCGGACGGTTCGGATGGCACTGGATCGATTTTCACCGGATGCAACGACTGACTTGTTGACGATCAGATAGATATTATGAGAACCGCCATGTCGTGAGTTTAGTGAAACTTGCTCACATTTTCAATCTTCAATGCTTTCATTTTTTCTAGTAGGATATCGTGATGGATCGAGCTTTACTGAAATCTAAGAGGAAAAAGTATTGTTAATTTATCGTTGTCAACGGAGATTCTGGTCTGGAATATTAAACGTATTGTTCCTGCATTTCTGCCTGTTCAAAAACTATGTGGTTGTTCCCTTGTGAGATTTGTGCAGTATATATAGTTTATATATACTTTAGAAATACTTTAGAACTTCAATACTTTAGAAATTGTCGGTAGAATAGAACTAGGTCTGTATTCAAGAGACAGGAGAATTTGTTGATTTAGGGGAAGGATGGACAAGTCCAGTTTTCCAAGAGAACGGATGAGTCCCATTTATGAATGAAAAATTTACTCTATCTGTTACAATGGGATGCTTTATTTCAGCACTAAGTTTCAGTAAGTAAGCGTTATTTTTTGTATTCCGGAGGTGCTTGATTTTAGATTCTGAAGTTGTGAGAACATCAATATGATTTGTACTCGCGAATAAAAATACTTCTAGAGTATTTCCAGAGTAGAACTGTTGGTTTGATAGTCATGTTATTTAAAGAATTTTCGAAGTAGGGAGCCATATTAGCGAAGCGTTTGATTTCGAGGGTCTAGGGGTACATCAATTTGCAGCGGGGCTCATGATTTGCCTCTGACTGGTGTGCGGTAGAGATTTCTAGATTTCTTTCGAGTAGCTGTTCGCATCTAAAATTGTGGTAATATTTATATTTCGCGTTGCTCAATTTTTGTGTAACTAGATTTCTTAATTAATTGTATATAATTGGGTTGTTTTCGTATTTTTTATTTCGCATCATTTTAAAAGCGGCGTCCCTTTGTTTCATCGAGGAGCACATTTTATTTGTTATCCAAGGATCCGGCGGTCGTGTTGCATGAGCTTTCCTTACAGGTACGCGCCGATCAATTAGTTCCGTCAATTGATGAATGAACGTATTTACTTTACTATCTACCAAACTTTCTCGATAGACAAGACGCCAGGGCACAGACGTACTACCATCAGAGAGAAATAATCGAAGATTGAAATTTAAAAAAGCTGCATTTGAAAAATCTTGGCGCGTATCTAGAGCATTTCATATAGTATGGGAGATACACGAGGTCATGTTTAGATATTCCGAGAACTGGTAATTGTCTGAGGAATTTCACTTTGTCATGGTTCATCATGATACAATAGTATGACCTATCCAAGCATTTGTACCGATTGTATGAGTTGCATTTAGTGGTAGAATGGAAAGATTCACGTCGCCAAATAGCAGTTAAAATATGTCGGCATGCAACGTATGCTTCATAAGATTCCAATTGAAATCACCTATATGTTCTATTTATTTGAAAAAGACGTAATATCTCCGTCGATAGCGTCAATATTCCCGGTTTTCGGAGGGCAATAGAGTAGGTCTAAGGCACTACACATTGCTAAACATTGAAATTTCAATGAACAGGTATTCGTTACTCTGATTAACGTGATCTGCTGATGAAGATATATAGTCTGTCCCACAGACAAGGTGACTGATTTTATATTCGCGGAAACAATCGCGCAGTCTGTGATCTGATGCAGGATTTAAGTAGTGTTGTGTTTCGACCAGCTTCCGTTTTAAAAGAAACAACGCTGGCATCACAGACTGTTCGCAGTAAATAAAACTGCAACAGTATGTTTTGACCCTCGATCGTGAAAAGAGCAATGGAGCAACGTGCGAACATTAAGTTTTGTTTCGAAGTTGGTAAAAGTGACACAGAAACTTTTGAAATTATACAACGTGTTTATGGTAGTGAAGCAATGAGTTGTAAAAACGTTTTTAAGTGGTATGCAAGATTTCGTGATAGAAGAGAGTGCATTGAAGACGACCCACGTCCAGGAGCATCAGCGGCAGTTCGAGTCGAAGAAAATGTTCAAAAAGTGGCTGAAATTCTTCGAAATGATCGTTGTGCATCTACCAGGTTAATCGAGGAGCTCACTGGAATTCCTAAAACAACTGTGCATCGCACATTGACTGAAAATCTGGGCAAAAAGAAGATCTGTTGTCACATTGTGTCCCACTCACTCACGGACGATCAAAAGCATTGCAGAGTGGAACACTGCAGAGACATGAAACGATCGGCCGATGAGGACGCAGACTTCCTGTCATGTATCGTAACCGGTGATGAAACATGGTGTTTTCAATACGAGCCACTTACAAAGCGCCAAGCTCGGAATGGAAAAGTCCAGAATCTCCGAAACCGAAAAAAGTGTGAATGCAGAAAAGTCGTGTCAAGACACTGCTCACAGTTTTCTTTGATTTCAAAATCCATAAAGAATTTGCTCCAGAAGGTCAAATAGGGAACGCATTAGTACTTGGGTGTTCTAACTCATTTATGGTCGAGGATTGTTCGGGTGAGGCCTGAATACCGCAACCAAGGAATTTGGTGTTTGTTGCACGACAATGCTCCAGCGCACAAAAGCAAGATCGTTCGCTAATTCTTGGCTGAAAAAGGTATTGTTGCGCTTGACCATCCTCCTTACTCGCCGGATTTAGCTCCGACTTCTGGCTATT